CCTTTTTTACAGTGGATGGAGAATTATGTAATGAAGATCTTGGAATGAGTGATGGGAGTATTCAAAATAATCAAATATTTGTCTCATCATGGTCAGAACTTTATCAACCTTTCAATTCCAGACCTTCCTCAACTGGTTGGTGCAATGACAAAGTGAAGGATGCAAATCCGTGGATTATGGTTTGAAAATCAAAATTCCTTCATATCACTCACAATTAGCGTTTTTCTTGATATATGTACAGTGTCATTTCTAACAGAAATATTTTGAAAATCAAAAACCATTCTTATAAAGATATGTTATCCTTGCTAATATCATTAAGTTGTTGTAGAATGTAATTTTTAAGACGAACAGACTTTTTTAACCAAAGATTAACAAATAAAAGATGCAACATTACGCTGTCTTTATATAAAAATATCTTAACAGTTGTTCCACTTTTTGTTTAACGGCTTTTTAGTTAAAAGGTATCATTAAACTATACGTTTAAACATTTTGACATGTGTTCAGTAATTTAAATGAACAGATTATTTTAAGTGTATTTGTGATTTTAGGTTGATTTAATAGTAGTTACGAAAATTGAAGGGGTAACAATATATGCTTCGAATGGAGCAAATATTCATTCAAGAGGAAGCTGGAACTCATTCCATCTTCTGTATGGGAATCAGACAAATAACTTAAACATTTATAGCGAAAAGGTAATGTATTAGATTATTATGAAATGTTTCACATTTATGTCAAACAAACACATGCATCACTTGGGTTTTGGAAACAGTCTAACAGAAACCAAATTGACCATCTACTATAGATATCTTAATATATCAATTGTATCGAATTCATATGCAGCATCTACCATTTTTGTAAAGTGTATTGGATGGAAATACATGTATGTTTGTTCTGAAAATACTTAAATTTACTCATTTATTACGGCGTTCATATATTAAGAAAATGTGACATATCCCTTATTTTTCATTAAATAGACATATTGAGGTCTTCTTCAAAAATATCATTTGCGCAAAGTTGATACAACACAAGACAATTATGATGAAAGGCAATTACTAAGTAACGTATTGATGCAAGTAATTCAGGATTTCCTACATTAACTACATCATGACACTGCTTCGATTCTGTTCATGCTTGCCGCATAAACTTAAGGTTACCACGACTTGTCTACGAAGAGTGTTCATATATGAATTCCTTTAAAATGTTTTATTGTTATATCGCGAAAATACACAAGAAAATGAAGGCTATTTCGTAAATATACATGCCAGGTATACCTCGATATCACATTCATTAAAATCCGTTTACTTCAGCTATTTTTATAGCTCGTTGTACATTGACTAGTCGTATAGTATAATACAAAAATGGTTTGTAAAAGATCAAAGTTTAAATACGGTCTTAATTTAAAAATCGTTGCCTCTTTGGCTTAGGGTGAACTCTGCTCTGTATGTTGACAAATTGAAAGTAAATATCGATGAAAGATACACCACAAGGCAAATTGTATCGTTGAAATATCGATAGTAGTAGCTCATACCATTCTCAAACGTGATTTAAAATTATGTTTTTAATAAGAAAGATCTGTGATAGATTGATTTACTGACAGATAAGCAAAAAGAGACTCGCGAACAATGCCCGAAGTTGTTGCTTAAACAGTTTCCAAATTACAATGTACGGTCTTTAAAAAATGTGAACTCTGTTGACAAACATGTGTTCATTTTGATAAGAAAAAAAAAACGAAAGAAAAACACAAGATTTTGGCTATAAAGTCTGGCAAAAGACCATGCATTGCAAATAGGTTGTCAATATAAAGAAGGTAATGTATGCAATTTTCTTTACAATTCATGGTCCCTCATTCAAATTGATGTTCCAAAAGGCAAATCTGATAATTCGAAATCTTTCAAGACAAAAACAATCTTCGCAAACTAAACAAATGATTTCGAAAACGAAGACGGGCGACAGTTTTGGCCAGTGTCAAATTGCTGCATGGCAACACGCGTTGAAAGTGCAATACTTTCTGAAGCAAACAAATGTAGTTATGCTCTCCCCATTAACTGTATTCACCTGACCATGCCTCGTATGATTTATTTTCTGTCTCCGAAGCTAAAAAAACCTTTTCGGTATTCATTGTTCAATGCAAACACCTCGGTTATGCAAATTTCTTATGTCTTTGTTGTCAAGGCGCCACACTTTCCTCTCACGACTAGGACACTGGGGCCATGGCATGACAGATTAAATCAACTTTCAACTGTAGCAAATTTTATTCTTTTATCATAGTTAATCTTATGACTTTATCCTACTGGTCAACATATGTGCATCGAATAAAACCATTTTAATAACAAAATATAAGTAAAGAGGAAAGGTGAGTATTCGATTTAAAATTTAACGGCATACTGCTTAAATCTTGGTATAAGTATTTTGGGAATATAGGGATAATATAGGTATATTTATACACCTGTGACATATTCATATTATACCTTAGCAGACTATGAAAATGCCGTCAAAGATTGAATCTGGAGTCTGAAACTTTGTACATCTGCTAGAGGTGAATCCGTTGAGAGAACAAAATGAAAAATTAATGAAACCTATGAAGTGTCAAGTTTTAAGTGCTAAGATGCATTCATTTTTAAACATTCCTCGTATAAAAAACAGCAGTGATGATTGTCTTTTAGAAGTTTGTCAAAGCAAGTATTTTATAATAGTTCTGATGCACAATCTAATTATTTGCACATGTATCAATGTGTCTACGTATGCATTATTGCTTCGTTTTGTATGCTTTATTTCATAGTTGAAAACTGATTTTGACCAATCGACGTCTCGCAAGCATAGATCATTTTTGATTCAAACCTCAGTTACTGCACGTTTGATCAAGTTGGAATTAACTGAAAGTGACGAGGCGGAAGAAATATGTCTTCAATTTGAAATTCATGGGTGTAAACTTTCAGGTATTTATATTCCTTTTCATATTTTTTCTTTATATTTCTATAAATCAACGGTTAACCCATAATAAGTAGACCTATATTGTACAACAATTCAAAGGACAACAACAAAAAACTAACACATTTACGTTTTGATCTTAAAATAAGCTTAAAGAGACTATTTAAACACAGGGATATAGGCTGTCGGCCATTCATTCGCTTCGCAATAAGTGCCTTACTAATATTACAGGAATACCAATCTCGCCGGAATGTGTCCACAAAATAAAAACACCTGTCAATGATGAACACACCGACGAAAGCTCGGGGGACGGTGCAGATGACACTTTATCAACTGATTATGTGTCTATTCACTATTTCAACGATCATAAAGTGGTTACGACCATAGACCACTCATCGGATTATGACGATTATGGCAAAAATGACTCGCCACAGATTGAACCAAACAAGGACTCAACACAGATTGACATTAAACATTTAACAGCTAAAACGTGTACGATAGGTAAGATATTTTCCAACAAAAAATCGGATAAAAATAGAGATACCTAACTAAAATATAAACAGCGCCTTGACATCTTTATGCCATTTGCATTCTGGACATACCGTAAACCTTATATTAAATATTTCATACAATGACGGTATGGTTTCATATATTGTAACTGTGGATTAATATAATGGATTCCGGTTAAATAAGAAGGTGTTTTCAAGTCATATATAGTCGAAGTGAACTTATATACTATCCAAGTGGTTAAATAAATTGGAAAAGAACAATATCAGACAGTCATGGCTTTCCATAAGAGACCGTATGAAAATTAAATGATATTTAACATATAGTATGTCTTCGGCTGATTAACTGGTAGTTTCAGTCCCTATATTAATCACTTGAAACATTTTAGATAATACAGTATTGTTTTTCTTGTCCCACAAACACCCTATCAATTGACATAATTATAACTATGTCGCTATGATACATTTACAAACAAACATTCACAGTACAAGTTCAAGCGTAAAGACACTTTCTTTTTATGCTCCCGCCATAAAATGGCTAGGGCAAATAGTGTAACCCCGTTCCGTCATTCCGTCCTCCCGTCATTCCGTCATTATCAGTTTCCATTACTTAGTTACGTTTGCACACATTTAAATTCAAATGTAACATATAGACATATCATGTGAAAATGCAAGCTAAGTTTTGATTATAGTCCGATGAAATTTTTAGTTTCCGTTGATATCTCCCCAACAGTAGTACGCATTCAACTCAAATTTGAGGTATGGATACGTCAAAGGACTGCGCAGGTCAAGTTTAAATTTGGTCATGGTTCGATCATTTTTGGCAGAGTGATGCCCCTTTCACTTAAAAAAAGAAGAAATTTTCCGATCATTATCTTCCCAACAGTTGTCGAATTCATCTCAAATTGAATGTATCGATACGTTCAAGGAATGCACAGGCCAAGTTAAAATTTGGTCTTGGTTTACTGATTTCTGACAGAATTATACCTCTTTAAAGAAAGAGGAAATTTTTAGTTTCCGTTCATTATCACACCATCAGTTGAACACTTTCAACTGAAATTTGTCATATAGACACATTTTAGACATAAGCAGGCCAAGTTTGAATGTTATCCTGGTTCGATGATTTTGGACAAAGTTATCATTCTTGAAAGTTTGAAAAAAATAAAGTTTTCAGTTTCCGCACGCATTTATGGAAATGTATGTAGTTATTATCTCGGCTACAAATATGCAACATGCAATTTGCAAGGTTAAAACTGAATAGTTTCATGGCCTTAAACTTTGTATAAAAATGGTATGTGATAACATTGGATTGTTTAAGTTGTTTGAACTTAGAATGAAAAAAATAGTTTGTGCAAACAAATTTGGAACTATAAATATTATTACATGTATAACATTTGAAATTTTGGCTGCAGGTTTGGGGCATCCATGTCGTGACGACACCTTTCTTGTTAATATCAAATCTCTTTTACGTTTATTGACTATATAAATAATAAATAGAAGGAAAAGAAAAACATAAAAAGTAACCTAATATTGGATAATATACGTTTCCTTCAGATGCTGTTGACCTGTTTCCAAGTTTTATAGAGGGGTAATACAACGATAATTACGAACGCATTATATGTTCAAAAGGCTTCAGTAATAATGTCTATAGGCTATCCATATCTAACAGGAAGTGACTACTGTTATTCATGGATAATAGATTTTAATCATCAGCACTATGTGAAATTAATCTTCACAAACATCACGTTGAACCAGTTGAACCAAATGGTAAGACTTATACACTTTGTGGACATTTATAGGGTTCTTTTGAGCAAATTGATTACACGAAGCTTTGCAAATTTGATAAAATTTTAAAATTTGTAAGTATTGACCGAAGTTTACAATAATAGTTGAAATTTAACGACTTTTAGGTTTGTGAGAACTATCAATCACAAATACTTTCCGAAGTGTGACGAACTCAGAGCGTTATCAGAAAGCGTATTGTTTCGTGAACATTAATTAGTAGCGTAAATACATGTATGTGACCTTACACAAATCTTTTTTTAATTATTTAGGAACATTTACGAAGGTGCACGAAATATTCTCATGGTTTTACTTTCGACTGTTTTACTATAACTGAGAAAAGGGATGTAGGTCTGAAGAATGTAATTGCTTTTTATTCTATCTACAGGAAATATAATGCATTAAAGATTCTGAAGTGAAACAGCTATATGATCTTTTTGCCGTATAGTAAATATACTGAGAGAAAAAAGTTTAGCAAGTTCGGAAATATTTCACTGGTTTATTGAAACTATACCAATTTGACTTAAACCAAGTACATAATTGAATAAAGCATTTAGTTTTCAATTAGTTTGTAACAATAAATTTTCAAAACCCTGTTGCCTTAGCTCACTGTACAGCCTGAAAGACGTTAGGGGTAAGGCGTCAAAATTCACAAGGAGTTCAGTATCTAGTGTGCATTGCCGCGCGAAGCCTATTTCTCATGGTTTTGAGGCACACCCTTGTCCAAGTAGTATTCATGAGATCTCGGGCTATCTTCCCACTGGACATAAACCGGTTACGTCGAGAAAGCGTCGTGATGTGACGGTCTTCGCGTGGCGTTGTTTTCCGTGGTCTGCCTGATCTTGGTCTGTCGTTGACTCGTCCATTTTGCCTCAGACGGTTTCTAAGGCGACTAATTGTAGACTCATGGCGATTGCCGTCATACCAGCGTGGAGCATACCTACAGCTCTTTGACGTTCTTCTAACGTCATTCCTTGGCGACTCCCCATTGGAATTTCTTCGAGTTTTAAACTGGTTATTTTGTTTGTGGTAACAGCTCAAAACAATGAGGTACATTACTCGACTCTACACGCTACCGAAATTGCCGTGCTTACGTTGCACGTGATTTTCGAGTTTCTTACGCTTCGCTGATAAAATACACGGTTTTCGAACAAACACAATAGATGTGTAAAGAGCATCGATAAGTACATCATTTACATATAAAAACGTCTTCATTCGAAAGCTCAAAAGGAGAAAATATTAGGTGTGAAAAACTTGCTAAACTTTTTTCTTTCAGTATACAATCAAACCTCTGCAGAGCAAAATTCTCTGGAAGACAAACAGTTAAGTTGCCCTGAAAAATGTTATTCTAAAGAGGTTTATTTATTGTAAATGTTCACTTTAAAAAATAACACTTTTGTTATAATTGCTTTACTGTTGGTTGTTCTGCAGCGGTTATAGTAAATGTTGGCAATAGTATAATCTATGTGGACTTATTTAAGAGGTCGTTCCGCTCAATTTTGTTTGCAAATTTATAGTTATGACAGAAGGAACCAGATTTGCAAAACATTTCAGATGTGTAGTGTTAAATGTTCAGTCCATAAAACCATGGCCTTTTGTTATTTTATATTTTTCCTGAATAGAATTTTCAACAAGTTATTCATTCTCATAAATATTAACATGACTTACTTATTTTTATACTTACAGCAGCAAATGTTTGGCGCTGTTTGACACAATAACATCCCATGTGTTGATATATTTTTCAAATCCTTCTCAATTCTTATAGTGTCAAGCACTAATACCGCTAAAGTCGGTGCTTGTTTTTTTGAACATTTGTCATTACTAACAACGAAATCCCTCCCCTTTACAAACATGTGTTCTTTGCCCGTTACAAAGAGAGTATTCCACTAAGCCCGATAGGCGCACTGCTTATCATAAACAAGAAAACCAGAATACAATGTGTAGCAGCTAACTTATTACTTGAATCTAAGGCAATCTGAACTGGTTGTAATGACTAACTCTCTCAAATATTCTTAAATATTCCGAATATTTCTTTATACGATTTTTCCTGAGCTCTGCAATGAACATACCATTTTTGCAATGATGCAGCTGTCTTTTCCTCTACATATGATGTGCTATGGCTCCATTTCATTACGAACATGTACTGAAACTGGTTAATGTTAAAGCAACGCGCTCCCAGACTTACATCTGATTTGGCCACGATAGTAGAGAATGATTTTAAATAGTTGAAGTAATTTTTAGTAAATTAGTGTATAATGTTATGTTATTAAGCTATCCAAAGACATTTACAATTCTAATGCATAATATATATCAGTTTAAGTTATATATATGCACATTTGCGTCAATCAAAGAAAGGCTTTTCGATTGGTAACCGTAAAACGATAACCACCGACTATATATAACGACATTAACATAATGATGACGAATCCTCCTAAAATCTCAAGAATGCATAAGACGATGTTAATGGTTTTTGCTTTAGTGTTAGAAGGCTTTTCGAAAATTACATCCTAGACGTTAGTAAGTCTACTGTTTTATGTCCGCAAGCAAATAAATCTTAACACCTTTTATTTGGACTGCTCATTTTGTTGCTGAGCACTTAATTCTAGAAAATATTTCAAAAACTCCAACTCACACATTATTGTCAGCCTGTTATTGTGTTTTATATCTGTCTTTGAAGAGCATAATCTAAAAAATCATAAAACGAATGCGTTGTTTTGACATTAGAAACATTTTTGTTGTACACAAGAAGTTAACACTTTTTGAAAATCAAAATGAGTTTCGTGTTAGAATGCAAAAGAGGGAACCTTTTAAGTCTTATTTCTTTGTCTGCTTTTAAGCTGATTTGACATATTATTTGTCATATAACGGCGGTTTGTCCACCTAACAGGGTCTCCTGGGAAGCTGGTCAATAATAAAGAATTACTCCGCAAAGTACAGACTAGTAATCCTAGTCCCACATGCTTTCTGAATCAGTAGTGCAAGATTAAAAACCATTGAGCCCAATTATCATGATGAAATTTCAAGTCGGCGACCCTTAAAGTACAAATCCGATGATATCCCTCTTGAGGTAACCGGGCGAACGCTATGAGGGCAAACGTGTATTAAACAATATATAATAATTATGCTTAAGTGTAGAATAAATATAGAATAATATACATTAATAAAAGTGTTAAATGAATATATTATCACGCTCAATTATCATTTTCTTTTCACTTCAGGTAGTAAATGATGATAATGGGTGTGACGACAAACTCATTCTAGGAACAGATTTACAGGAGCAATTAAATGGAACTGAACTTGATAACAATTTTAACGAAAGAGTGTTTATTATTGAAACAAATAATACTTTTGTAGTTATAACATTTCAACCGTGTTTCCATAAATTCAAAGGAAGTAGGTTTCGAGCAGTTGTTATTAAAGAAGGTAAGTTGATATCAAAATGAAATGCGATTTTCAGCCACATTTACGTTCTCTCTTCTATATAAGTAATATAGGTATGTGACTTTATTGTTATAAAACAGGTAAATCATTCAAACATACTTCAAACAAAGTTACTTAATACCTTTAACCATTATTCTTCATGAAACTACTGGTTTTGAAGGATGATATGAATTGGTGTTTTAGATATTCCAGCTTGTTTATCCATCGGTCCAAGCGTGAATTGGAGTAATGGAAGGAAAGAGATTTGCATAAATCCAGAAATGATACTTACGTCAATGTCGATTTTGAATAATCCGTTTGACAATTTTGAAGAAAGGTTTAGGATCCGGGCAAAACATCACCACGGCATCGAGATTGAGTTTATAGACTTTTATATTGTATGCCCGATAGGTAAGCGTCGTTTTCCTTTATCTTATTACTTGCAACATTTCACTGACTAAATTTTTGTCTCCTGGTGATATTGACAGCTTTACAATGAATGGACCATTTGAAAATTTGTGATATTATGGTACTTGATCGCAAATAAGTCAGTTATCAAACTAATAAAGACTTCTGAAGAGATGTGTTGATAGGTCATAAATAAAACAAACGATTATCATTAATCTTCGGAGAAAATTAATCAAATACCTGCGTTTAAGACTTAAAAAGCTATTATAAACACAGAGAATACAATAAAATCACTGAATTCTACGTAAAAGGTTTCACTTGAGTTACTGTTGTAAATGCATCATCTATGTAATCCTTTATGAAAAACTATGAACGTCCTATATTTTTTAGAAATAACCGAGAGTCGCTCTCGTCTCACAATAATTGAAAGAAATGGCGACATAGAAAATACATACTGCAACACAAATAAACCTCCGGAAAAAATCAGTTCCGAAGAGGGTACTTTGTTGATTGTATTTCGTAAATACGAAGATCCAACTAAAGCCTTTATAGGAAAGGAGGGATTTCGATTACATTACAGGACAAAAAACTACTCTTTAGCCAACTGGACCGAAATTACCTTAAAAACAGGTATATTTATTTGAAATGACATATCTAATATATATTCAAGTAAAGTTATTTATTGGAGAGGTTATTAGACCTCTCCATAGTGTTCAGACTGATTGCTGGCGGCATCCATTTTTGCGTATCTGATTGCAGTGAATTAATCCCATTTTAAGCGTAAAAGAAGCAAACTTGTATACATTTTGATTTACACCCCGTACCACTTTTGCAACTGCTAAATATCGGTGTTGCACGTATGTGCTTATATTTTGACGCGACATCATTAACGTTTCGCCAACATAGTGTAAAAGACGCACTAAATGTTAGCGTTTTATTATTAGCCTTTATAAGGGGTATATGCAATTTAAATGGAATCTTTTTTTTAAACTCTAAACAGGTCTTATATTTGATATAGAATAGATAAAAAAATATATATATTCGTGTAGTTTCATTGTCAAAGTCCAAGGGTATATAGTGAGTGAACAGGTGAAAGTTACAATAAGTTTACATTTTATGATAACTCCTTTCATATTTGTGCCCCCACTTAGTGGCGAGCATTTAGATTTGCCCTTGTCCGTCCGTCCATCCGTCCGTACGTACCAACTAGAGCTACATTATCGGGTTTGGTCTAGGGTTCTCATAAAAATAGATGTCTTTGATGTCATTCATTCCGTTTCTCTTGTGGGGTTATTTTCTGCATTGTGTGGTTAAAAAGAACAAAAGAAATAACAAAAGAAAACCCAATAATGTAGCTCTGGTAATAATATCCGTCCGTTCGTCTGTCCGAGCAAACATTTTGGGTTTAGGGGCTATATAACAGTAAAGAGAACAAAAGAGAACAATAGGTTCATTCTGTGATCAAAGGGTTTAGGGGCTAGTAGCCCTTAAGAAAACAAAGAAAATGACAAAGAAAATAGCCCCTCAAGCCAAAATGTTGGAACGTCCGTCTGTCCTTCCGTCCGTCCGTTCTCTTTTGTGACGCACGTAACTCAAAAAGTATTTGACCTAGAGTCGTCATTCAACTTTACAGGAATGATAATCAGCATGTGTAGTTGTGCACCTGGGTATTTTCGTGTGGATTTTTTTACTACTTTAAGAGTTATTGCCCTTGGCTTTGTAAAATTTTGCAATTTTCAACTTGTGTCGCATATAACTCAAAAAGTATTTGACCTAGAGTCATGAAACTTTACAGGAATGTTGACCAGCATGTGTAGTTGTGCACCTGGGTATTTTCGTCTGAATTTATTTAGAATTTTTAGAGCTATTGCCATTGACTTAGTAAAAATTTGCAATTGTCAGCTTGTGTCACATGTAACTCAAAAAGTATTTGACCTATAGTCATGAATTTTTACAGGAATGTTGATCAGTATGTGCAATGTGCACCTTGGTATTTTTTCTGTATATATTGAGTACTTTTAAAATTATTGCCCTTGACTTAGTAAATTTTTGCAATTTTCAACTTGTGTAACTCAAAAAGGATTTGACATAGAGTCATTGAACTTTATGTGAAGGTTGCCAAGCATATTTAGTTTTGCACCTGGGGTTTCGCTTATGGATTTATCCAGTATTTGTAGAGATATTTCCCTTGACTTAGTAAAACCATTAAATTATGTTGTTATTTGTTCCTTGAGTGTTTGAGTTAGAATCAACCAACTTTACAGAAATAATGATCAACATCACTAAATTACAGGAATAATGATTCACATCACTGTGAAGCTATGGACCTAGGACTTTGCATATGAATTTTCTAGTTTTGTTAGAGTTATTGCCCTTGACATACAGTAGTATAAATTTGCAATTTTCAACTTGTTCATGCATAGCTCAAAAAATATTTCACTTGTAGGCCTGAAAGTGAACAAGAATGTTGGTCAGCATGTGTACTTATGCACCTTGGGGTTTGCTTGTGGATTTATTCAGTATTTGTAAAGTTCTTGCTCTTTAGATATTTTTTGAAAACTAAAAACATTTGACCTAGAGTCATAAGATTGACAGAACAGTGGCGCGGTGGGGGCACTTGTGTCCTATGGATACTTTTCTAGTTATAAATAAATTATCATGATCGCTAAACCGGTAAACAGGACACAAGATAATTCCTGAAATTTTGCAGCTGTTTACGAGAAATGATCAAAAAGTTCTCGGCCCGATATACTTCTAGCCACTACACAGACATTAACAAACGATACGCCGATACCGATATCTTATTAAAGATTACTGACCGAGTTACACGCGGTTGTACAATATTAAGTAACGTAAAACACACTTTGATCAGTAAAGGCGTGTGTCATTTAGATCAAATAGAGTAAGTTGAAATCAGTCCCCTTTTTATAACACTGTGAACAAATGGGCTGCTGAATTTAAGAGGAGGGGCAGGTAGAGCATTGGAGATGATGAGCGGCCTGGGCGGCCAAAAGAGGCAACCAACGATGAAACTTTGGTGCAGTTCAGGCTATTTTGACTGAGGTCTATGGCATGTCAAAGGTTTCCTCTAGATGGGTCCCCAGACAGTTGACTGACGACCAGAAACAAACCAGGCTTGTCATTTCAAGATAACCTTTGTCTCGCAACGAGAATGAACCTGATTTCATCTACCAGATCGTTACAAAGAATAACATGGGTCCATCACTTCGATCCAGAATCCAAAAGAACAGAGCATGCAGTGGAAGCAGACTGGCTCACTCCCTCTGAAGAAATTCAAGATAGTGCCATCAGCAGGGAAGAAGATGGATTCAATCAACGTACTATGCAAACAAATTGAGACGTCTGCCTTAAGTAATCGCGCATAAAAGGAGGGGCAAACTGACTCAAGGCGTTCGTCTCCTGCACGACAATGCGCCAGCTCACACATCCAAAGTTGCGATGGCTGCTGCAACTGACTGCGACTTTGTAATTCTTTCCCATCCCCAATTCTACCCGGGATGGAGCCCTCTGACTTCTACCTGTTTCCACAACTGAAAACCAAGCTTCGTGGTAAACGTTTTGGAAGCAATGAAGGTGCCACGGAGGCGGTCAATGTGTTCTTTGAGGACCAAAGTTGAGAGTTCTTTTTTGAAGGATTATACAAGTTGGAGCACAGGTGGGCAAAGTGCATTGATGAAGAGGGCGATTTTATTGAAACGTAGGACTTTTACCTGGGTTCTCTGACTACCGGAAGTAGTGAGGGCAGTCTTTTGATATTTTAGGCAGATTTTTCTTTTATCCCATACATTTTCCAAAATGAAGTGTTAGTCAATCACCATTATATAATTATGTAACTCTTTTAAAGTACATTGTTAATTCAGCTCAACATGACAATGCAAAAAAAGGAACATATTGCCACTTTAAACCTATTGAACTTTTCTAATGAGAGAAGATCGCACAATACAATTCCATCCAAGTCGTCCAATAAATTTAGTTTTGAACTTGAATACACTTATTCAATATCTTCAAGACATTAAATGATATCATTTATCATTTTACGTTTATCTCGTTAACCACATGTATTGATGACATTCTTAATTTTATTTGAACGATACCGATATTATGCTAGTAAATTCTATATTCAATAATGAACTTCTTGTAGAATTATACAATGCGACTTATATACATGTATTCCTAAAAATGCATGACGCAAATACAACCGATGCATGCATCGTCACGTAAGTTAATGCAATGTTTGTCTAACGCAATGATTTATTAAGTCACTAAGATATTACATTTACTTCACATTTTAGATGGCGAGATGAAGGGCTCAACTAACACAACAGGTACCTACTTATTTTTAAGATCCATGTAGTCGTATTTTTTTCTTTAATCTCAATTGTCTTATCAACAACTCACTGAGTGTGTTTGAACCAGGTGACTTCGGACACTCATGTGAGGAAATCATCCAGCTTGTTTTCGAAAAGGTAGGAAAGAATACTTAACGTGTTCCTCCAACGGAAAAACTCAAGAGTTGTCATTATACCTTGCAATGTCGTAACTAAAATGCCAACTTAATAAATAAATAATCTTCCGAAAGACCCGGTGTGTCATTATCAGAACTTAAAGAACATTTAAGCTGTAAATAATCTAAACGGTATTTATTAAATACTTTGGAGAATAATACGGGTATTTGTTCCGAGCATATTGTTTTCATTGTAAATCTTAGCGCATATTTTTAATGAGTATGTACTTGCTACAGTGTTTTAGTGAAATACGCCATTAAATAAGAACCATTTCTTATTTAGTTTTTTATGATTGTTATTTGTATACAAGTATTGAAAACAGGAATAAGCAACATATGTAAAATTAAAATCTGATAAAGACTAAAATAAAACTTTCTTGTTCAATAAATCAAGGGCGCAAGGCAATAGCTTAATGAAGTAATTTGACATCGAGTATATCCCGTAACGTAGGAATGTGATTATAACGCAGGAACTGTGTAATAGTAGCTTATATATACAACTAAATTCTAAACATTTACAAAACGTGTTTAGAACACTAAATGAAACATCATTTTACTTTGCAGTTTGTTCGCAGAAATTCAAAAAGTGTTACAACATATTTTCGTCATCGATGTCCTGGAAACAAGCTGGTTCCGTTTGTGGGGAATATGACCAATTTCTTGTAACAATACAGTCACCAAAAGAATTACAGTACATTAATTACCTACTTCGTGAACAGAGGTACGTTGATCGAAGAGCTGAGATTAGTGATTCAAAAGGTTCAAGCTATAAAGCACATATAGGTGAGTTGGCTTTTGAAGATATGACACAATTTTTGTAACTGAATTCTTTTACTGAGTTGTATGCAATTTGGATTATCATGAACCAATTTTTTAAAAATTTTAAACGTTTTTGCCAGTTAAGGCAATGATAAAAATTTTATTTTGAGTTGAGAACGCACGCATGCATGAACCCCTTTTACTATGTGCTGAATCTGAAATATGTCTATCGATGTTCGCTTTTATGGGAATGGATGTATAGATGTATTCACATTTCAGGATTAAAGCGCAAAATTGTCACAGATAGGAAAGGAAAATATGTTTGGTTGAACAATTATGAAGTAATTTTTTCGCCATGGTAAATATGTTATAATTTTACATAGTTTTATTCTGGTTATAAGAGTTTTATTCTGGTTATAAGCGCATGTCATTAAACAACTACAAATTCATTGTCATCATGAAATTGCACGTGTTGAGAGAAAGTTTTAGTCTGGTTATAAGCGCATGTCATTAAACAACTACAAATTCAATGTCATCATGAAATTGCACGTGTTGATGCTACATATTCATTACCAAGGATGACGCAAAAAGAAAGCTTGTTTCGACTGTGGTCCTAAGAATTGATCATATGACACCAGAAAGGCACTTTTATCAGAAATTGCATTAAAATTATTGAATCACAAGTTGCTAAAGTTTCTTATACCAGTTATTGCAGATAAGTTAATAGTTCACAATTTTGCACAACACACGTATTATCGTCATAGGTATGACAGAAAATTTCTGACAATGAATAGATTCTACTAAAATTATACACTGAACACACAAAATAAGTAATACAATTACAGTGTAATGACTAAATTAAAAATACTAGACAGATGCTGAATGCATAAAATGTTCCGTTTGAGATTGTTTTAATAAAGATCACGTCTTGTTATGGATCTAAGATGTGTTGGTTACATGTTCTAGTCCTGATATAATTTAGTACAAATATTTTCACTCCGAAACCCTTAACCTTTTACCTCATATATACGCGACACAACGCACTCTCGACCCCCCCCCCTCCTTAAGGCCTCAAATAGTGAAAAAACTGTTCTGTCATGGCCCAAACACATGTTTTCATTTTTCAGCGAGGTCCCCCAGCCGAAAGATACATGAGGGTGTTTCCAGAAGGGGGATATGCCCCCTTCTGTTTGGGGGGGGGGGGGTGAAGGGGCCGGTAGTCCCCCTCATCGCCAGGAAAATTATGGACTTGTGAGAGGCTAAAAATGACCTCAGATCGATAATAAGGTAACGTGTAACCAACACTGAAAAGCATTTGACTCTATCTCTATCCATTGAGAAGTTGCAGCACCTTGAAATCTTTCGATGGAAAAAATCAACGATACACTGTGATTTTTGGCAATTTTAAGATGTCCCCTCGTTGCCATGGTAACAGGAAATTTAAGCCTGAGCATGTTGTTACAAAGGCCATTTGGGCAAAGTTTGATTAGTATTGAAGCAGTTTTTATAGTTTTATAGCAATTTGAACTTGCAACGGGAGACTTTTCAATGAAAACAGCCATTTTTCACAAAATGCTTATGAAGTAATGGGTTAACTCTGTGAATATAATGACTGTAACTATGTCTCAAACTAGTTGAGTAAGAGTATACTTCATTTGCAGGTTGAAAGTGGTCATTTGAATAACTTACTTTGCATTATTATTGTGTATCTCGTGTATATAACAAAAGATAACGAAATTCAAATGTATTGGTAACCAACCTATGAGTATGGGGACTGAGATTAATTTTAAATCTCACCATCTTATTCTGTGTGGCCTGAAGTCTATCTTTTAGATTTTGACTCAACCCCAAATACAAGGAGGCACACGCATAATCAAAATGACATTCTTTCAATGAAGAATTAAAAGCTGTTTAGTATACATATTAATATATCAATTTTTCCTATATAAAATCCTTCGTTTTGCATCAGCCTTATTAATTATCTGATTGGCTATAGAATCTCTGGATAGACTTTGATCTAGATCAGTACCTAAATAGCTAACATATTTGGTGAATGTTATTGTAGTATCATATTATACAATATCTTGTTAAGCTTTATCTTTTTTACCTTCATGTTTGGTCATGTTTTAGATATTTCTATTCAATAAATGTAGCTGTAAATGTTTTAGTCTTTTATTTTTGACAAAGAAAAACGAAAAACAAACAAACAGACAAACGGACTCCATCAAATAACAAAGATAAACCTAGCAAAACCAAATCAGTAGCAGCAGCAACAACAATTACACATGTTGCACGTATTAATTCTTAACGTTTATTAAAGTTTTAAGAACAATAAAAAGCATATCGTTTAAATTTAACAATTTACATGTTCTTCCAGTCATGTTTCATTTTTTTGTTAGATGTATATTCGTTTCAGTAAACTTTGGCTTATCATGTTTTGGTTGAAAATTTCCTCGTTCACAAATTTCAGGGCAGTTGGTGAGCCATCAGTTGGAGACTGTACTTGCACAAACTTCCGGTCATTTATTACAGACAGAACATTGGAATCAGAATATTGTAACAATGGACATAATGCAGATTATTTCATCTGCCAGTCGGATTATAATGAAAAGGGGAAAGCAAAATGTAATTTATTTTTGTTCATACTGCAACAGAAATGTTTTCGTCTTGGTTGAGTTAAAGTTAAATTAACTTTGAAGTTTACCCATTATAACACCTGTGCTTTTGTCAGGGGTTATATGCAAGCTTCCGAACAAAACGGGCATTTTACGTTGTTGCTTCATACATTAACGTCTTATATGATTCTATCTTATTAGAAATCATATCTTAGAATTTGTATTTGGTATATGGGACAAAAGAACATATTCTCATTTTCTATACATGTATTTTGCCTTCGGCTTTCCTCTGATTGAGTCATTTAATGTTTAAATGTTTAAATTGAACGAAAAATTACGTACTTTGAATGCCAAACAATAAAGTATATAAAAGGTTAAAAGGAAAATATATGGGCATGATTTTTTTCGCATTTGAACATTTGAATGTATTTAAGCAAATCTCATAAATAACATTGAAAATTCTATTATACGTGCATAATTATGTAACTCTATCATTACCGTTTCGAAATAGGTTATTTTTTTCCTATTTTGTTTACATGTTTGAGTATTAAGGACGCAAAATGTATACATGTTTTGGTATATATTGTTTTATATTTGCTATTTGAAGTTAAAGTACACATTTGACATGGCTTACCTCCTGATTTTGAAATAAGTATATTGTAACATTTTCGTTTTCAGTTGCCTCAAAGAAAAGCAGGTGTAATACTTATTTGTCTGAAGGAAACAAAACAAAAATGAATTACTCCTACTCCGGGAAGTTGTGTCAGAATTGGAGTAATCTAACTAAAAATGCATTGATACATTTCAATAAAACATTTGACCAACGAAAAGAAGTTTTAAAGAAAAATTCTACATTATGTCAAGACCCATATCGCTCTGGAATAATGGGTTGCTACGTGAATGACAGTGTGTCGGTCTGGGAGCCATGTTTCTTTCCACGTATGCTTTTGTCGTTGTTAAATGGTGTTTAAAATGAGTTTGAGCTATTTATTAGAACTCAGAATCTTATTCTCACAGCAATAGATAGATTTTTTTCTGTACACTTTATGATAATTAAAAATAAATGGCAACATGTAATAAAAACTCCTTTTAAAAATATGTTTTCATGTAAACATTATAATGAAATATTCCAGATTTCTGTTTATTGGTTTTTATATACACAACAGTGCCACATAATCTTATAAATGATAATCTTATAAATAATAATGATAATGTTTTCAAACAGATAATAGGCATTCCAATGGGAACTAATTGTGCCCCCTGATAGCTGATAAATTATTTTACTGCTATGAGAAGGATTTTATGTTAAGTCTTTCCCCTACTTTACATCAGGAAAGTATACATGCATTTAAAAAAACATCTCCCGCTACCTAGATGATATCCTTAACATGAATAATCCTTATTTCGATCAAATGGTTTCTAAAATATACCCCAGTACGAATAGAATTAACTCTTCACACGTTATTACATCTTTTTGTTTTTAATTTAAACATTTCTATCATTAACAATACTATAGTAACTAAAATCTACGATGAAAGAGATGATTTTGATTTTAATATTGTTAACTATCCACATTTAGATGGAGATGTATCTCATACTACATTATATGGGGTGTATATTTCTCAATTATTAACAATTGCTAGGGTGTGCAGTTGTGTTGAAGATTTAAATGAACGCAATTTATTTATTACTAACAAACGTCTTAAGCAAGGTTATCGCTATCATAAACTGCGTAAATATTTTACAAAGTTTTACCATCGTAATTCAGACTTAGTTTTAAAATTTAATTGTTATTTAAAAGCTCTTTTACGACAAGGTATTAGCAAACCTGATTTCTATGGAGATGTGGTTAACAAACTTCGTAGGATCATGAGTAATAGTAATTTTTCTGCCGTCTTCATTAAAATTATCAAACGGTTTATTTAAAGAGGTTATGACCCAATTATTTTAAGGCATACCGCATGCTTGGTACCCTTTTAAAGTTGGACGCTACGCTTTCCTCTTTTAATTACATCTGACGGACTAAGTGGGAGATTCTATGATGGACAGTTTTTAAAGCTGCACGCCTCAAGATGAGCCAAAATATTTCAAGAAATTCAATCTTTATAGAAATTGATTAAGATCTTAAGAGAAATTAAAATTGTCTATATTTAATTAATTATTAACATGTTATGTGTGATTAATGACTGATTTTGCGTTATCAAACACTCTAATTTTACTACGTTACTAACTCAGTAAGAGATATTTATGTATATTTTGATCCCCTTTTGTAATTTACGTTGACTCTGTGTGCCGTTTGAATAATGTAAATTACTTTCTTTGTTCACTTCACAACATTTTGCCTTAAAATACCTTTTCAAAATTTTCATGGAATTAAGCATGAATCTGGAGGTATGCTGATTTAAAGCCCTTTGGTACAGTATTGTCTTAATGTTCTTCTTCTGTCTTGCTTCGTTGTGCCCTTGTAGGTGATTTTCTTGTTGCTCTGCCTTCTTTTTAGGCATCGAGTACTTTGGTAATGGTCATTAGGCTGTACCTTTTTTCACATATTTACACAGTCCTTTACGTGTTTTATCTATTTGGTATAATGTAACCATGACCATTGTTAGAATTTCACTTCGCGGGGATTAATTTTATTTACATTTTTGTGTCATTCAGGAACATATTGGGGCTAAGAGTGAGCATTGACGCGCCTGAAACCGGTTTAAACTCCCATGTGGTTTGACTACCACTGACCGTTTCAAGGCAGTACCCCTCTGTGTTCCTTCACGTGATTCTCATGTCTGTATCGATACCTGTTTTGAAAGTTTACATGTTTTGTGATGTATGTCTTGTTGGATTGTCGTTGACTGTAGGTATTTTCTTACACTCCTCTTCTCCCATTTTTTCACCCCTCCCCCAAATTTTACCCTTACAACCCTTTAATTTCCTTATGGGCCGTTTCAGTTTATATAATTTGACATTCAATGTCCCACTCCTTCATCCTTATATCCACTACAGGTTTTTGTTTGGTGCCTTCTGAGTGCCCTACTTGGGTGTGTCGGGTTGCAGCGTCCTGTGAACGTTGATGCCTTGTTGATCTTTGTTCTTTTTTACTTATTTCGTATTTGAAAATAAGTACTGATTCAAAACATTTGCTGCGGATATTTTGGCTTAAATTTCAATAACAATCAACAATTTAAATCACGTTTCCATTTTATTTCTATTTTACCCATTTTATTTGGAAGAGTTGTTATACATATTAAAACTCGATCTCGAGTCTATGATTTTCATGTACATTTCTTTTATATCAAAACCATTTTTATCGGGTTGTAATTTCCTCACATTAATGAATAAATTTATCTTTACACATGTTTACTTAACAAGGACTTTTCCTCCAATATAGAAACTGGCTCTGATTCTATGATCATGGCCGTTCCTGATGTTTCTTTTGAATGCAACTCTACCGGACGCCGTATACCATGGGTGAATAAATGTGATAGAACGTTCCATTGTCAAGACAAAACCGACGAAGTTAATTGCACCTTGAAAGGTAGGACCTACGCTATTATAGTGAATAACTATAACTAAAAATATTCACAAAACCCGTTGACAATAGGTGCGTTTATGCATATTGTTTGGTTTTGTGATATGATCGATTCTGTCGAAGGATTCCGTCCATTGGGTGTCTTTACAATAAATAATACGTTATACTGGTATAGAAGCTAGTTTACGACACTCGTTTTACAATGAAACTTTGAGATAGTGGTGAAAAAAATTGTAATTCAATTTCTTTATGTTAAGTAACACAATTATTTTCTGTTATTATTTTTAGAACACGACCTTGCAAGAGACGTTAAATTAAGCTCTACAAATCTAAACGTAACGGTCGATGAAGGAAGAAACTATCATCAATGTGGAAGTAAGGAATGGATTTCCATAGCTGCAAAATGTGATACTGTAATAGACTGTTTAGATGCATCTGATGAAATTAACTGTATTAGACAAAGTACAGGTGACAAAGGCTTCTTGTGTTATTTTTTAGCTCACATTTTGTTGTTAACACTCTAGCGGTCGCATTTTTGCCTAAATCATCATCAAACTTGGTCAGAATGTTTGTCTAGGTAATAGCTCGAATCAGGTTGAACATGGCTCATCTCGGATGAAAAAAGTAGGTCACCGGAGCATAAAATAGAAAAACCTTGTTAACACTCTAGTGGTCACATTTTTGCATCAATCATCATCAAACTTGGTCAGGATGCTTGTCTAGGTGATAGCTCAGATGTGTTCGAACATGGGTCATCTCAGATGAAAAACTAGGTCATCGGAGCTAAAAATAGAAAAACCTTATTAACACTCTAGCGGTCACATTGGTGCCTCAATCATCATGAAACTTGGTCAGGATGCTTGTCTAGGTGAAAGCGCGGATGAGTTCGAACATGGGTCATCTCGGATGAAAAAGTAGGTCACCGGAGCTTAAAATAGAAAAACCTTGTTAACACTCTAGCCGTCACATTTTTGCATCAATCATTATCAAACTTGGTCAGGATGCTTGTCTTGGTGATAGCTCGGATGAGTTCGAACATGGGTCATCTCAGATGAAAAACTAGGTCATCGGAGCTAAAAAATAGAAAAACCTTGTTACCACTCCTGCGGTCACATCTTTGTCGCAATCATCATCAAACTTTATCAGGATGCTAATCTAGTTGATAGCTCGGATGACTTTGAACATGGGTCATCTCGGATGAAGAACTAGGTCACAAGTGCTAAATATAGAAAAACCATGTTAACAATCTAGCAGTCACATTTTAGTCTCAATCATCATCTAACTTGGTCAGGATGTTGTCTAGGTGATAGCTTTGATGAGTTCGAACATGGGTCATCTCGGATGAAAAAGTAGGTCACCGGAGCTAAAAATAGAAAAACCTTGTTAACTCTCCAGCGGTCACATTTTTGCATCAATCATCATCAAACTTGGTCAGGATGCTTATCTAATTGATAGCTCGGATGACATTGAACATGGGTCATCTCGGATGATGAAGTAGGTCAAAAGAGCTAAAAATAGAAAAACCCTGTTAACACTCTAGCGGTAACATTTTTGTCTCAATCATCATCAAACTTGGTCAGGATGCTTGTCTAGGTGATACCTTAAATGAGTTCGAACATGGGTCATCTCGGATGAAACAGTAGGTCACCGGAGCTAAAAATAGAAAAAACCTTGTGAACACTTTATCGGTCACATTGTTGCATCAATCATCATCAAACTTGGTCAAGATGCTTGTCTAGTTAATAGCGTGGATGAGTTCGAACATGGGTCATCCTGGATGAAAAAATAGGTCACCGGAGCTTAAAATAGAAAACCCTTATTAACACTCTAGCGGTCACATTGGTGCCTCAATCATCATGAAACTTGGTCAGGATGCTTGTCTAGGTGAAAGCCCGGATGAGTTCGAACATGGGTCATCTCGGATGAAAAAGTAGGTCACCGGAGCTAAAAATAGAAAAACCTTGTTAACACTCTTGCGGTCACAGTTTTGCCCCAATCATCATCAAACTTTGTCAGGATACTTGTCTAGGTGATAGCTTAGATGAGTTTGAACATGGGTCATTTCAGACGAAAAACTAGGTCACAGGAGCTAAAAATAGAAAATTCTTGTTAACACTATAGCGGTCACATTTTTGACACAAGTGTCATCAAACTTTATCAGGATGCTAGTCTAGGTACTTGCTCGGATGATTTCGAACATGGGACATCTCGGATGAAAAACTAGGTCACAGGAGCTAAAATAGAAAAAACTTGTTAACACTCTAGTGGTCACAATTTTGACACAATTGTCAACAAACTTGATCAGGTAACTCGTCTAGGTCATTGCTGGGATTAAATCGGGTCCTCTCGGATGTAAATTAGGTCACAGGAGCTAAAAATAGAAAAATCTTGTTAACACTCTTGTTAATACTGTTGTGATCCAAATATTCTGTAATTTGGTCTGAATGTTTGTTTTGATGATTTCAAAGTCAAGTTCGAACATGGGTCATCTTTGATGAAAAACTAGGTCACACCGCCCAAATATGGAAAAACCTTGTTAACATTCTAGTTGTCACATTTTCGACTCAATTATCATCAAACTTGGTCAGGAAGCTTGTCAAGGTAATTGCTCGGATGAGTTCGAAATCGCATGTGAAACTATGTCACCAGAGCTAAAAATAGAAAAATCTTGTTAACACTCCAGTTGCTACTGTTTTGATCCAAGTATTCTGGAAATTGGTCTGAAAGTTTGTTTTGATGATTTCTAGGTCAAGTTTGAATATGTGTCACCTGGGTGAAAAACTAGGTCACACTGCTCAAATATGGATAATCCTTGTTAACACTGTAGTGGTCACATTTTGACTCACCTGTCATGAGACTTGGTCAGAATGCTTGTCTAGGTAATTGTTTGGATGAGTTTGATGGGTCAGGTGAGCAATCTAGGGCCATCATGGCCCTCTTGTTTAACTTGTCTTTTTCTGTAGAATGTTTATTTTCGTAAAAGTTTAAAGTGATTAAGTGGAAGCAATGTGGGTCAACGATTTTGAAGAATTGTCGTTATTACTTTAAAATAGAAGGTTATGGATAAACAATTTTAGATACCAGTAACGTTTTTTATGTTCACTAGAAATACCTTAATCTAATATTTGAGAAACTTTATTTAGTTATTATATCACCTTTCCTTATGGTAACTTGTTCATGACTTTTTATATATTAGTAGTATTTGTTGAAATATTTTTATCCATTTACGAAAAATAATAACCCATTATTCAAAAGGGAGCAATATTTTGTTGATTGGCACTGTGTTACAAAATTGTAAAGTTTTTTCATTTCCAAACAAGTTCAAATTTTCTTTTTTAATACTTTTTATAAAAACTTGTTTCTCCAGTAATTAATGCAAACTTCAGCCAGAATTACTTGGAAACTATTCTATTGGCATAATACTCCAGACTTAATTTCAGGTTACCAATGGGACGAGAGAACATCTAAAGTAAAATTGGCCAAGCAACATCACTATTTGTCGGGCCGGATTTTTTTCCATTAAATAATGGATTTTTTTCCCATAGTGTTGCAATTCTCCGGATGGATTGAGAGAAAGGATCCAAAGGCTTCAGGTTTGTGTTTCCATTAACCTTATTTTCATCTGTTATTTACAGTTCGACAAGTCCAAATTTCTTGGCGATGAGGGGGACTCCGCCCACCCTTCAAAACCCCCAAACAGAAGGGGACAATACCCTTCTGGACCCCCCTAATGTTCGTTATTGGGTTGGGGGGCCCGCGCCCGAAAAAAGATGTCACTTTTTTAACAAAATTACTCAAACAAAAACAAGTGTTTGGGGCCTAAATAAGGCATTTTTTCATCATTTGAGACAACAAAAAGGGGGGTGAAAAAGGCGTTAAAAGGCGTGTATATAAAGTTATGGGTTAAGCCGCACTTAAAATTGTAATAGAATGAAATATTGCCAAATAGGGAACGCAAATATTATTTGATTGATTGCATTCATGTGTACGAATATACATGTAGTCCAGATTCATATTCATTTTTATCAACAAATCAACTGTCGAAAATTTTTCAATTTTTTACTTCTTATTAAGCTTTTTCTAGTACATGCTTAACATCTGATTTCTCCAGTAAATTTATATAATGCATATTTTATTTATAGCTTCTCACGCCAGATAATATTGAGTTAATCTATCTCATATAATGGTACTATTTATACTCCTAGACTTAGACTCAGGACATATATCCAATAAAGCACGATATAAAGTTAACATAAACAGCATAAAGTTAAAAAGTATGAAGCATCTAATGCAACGTTTATAGTAGCCCTATATTGTCGGCCCGGTTTTATTTCCAATTTTTTTATATACTGCGCAGATGGATTTCGGCCTTTTTCGTCTCCTCATCTTTGTCTTAGGTTGTTTTTAAGTTTCACATGGGTTACCGGGATAACCGTGATAGTTAGGAGAAGAAAGGGATCCACAAGGGGGCATCATGTTTTGTGTCGCGGATTAACCTGATTTTCATCTCGTTATGATTAACATTTTTCGTATCAAACATAAGCAAAATAAAACTGCCATTTTGCAGAAAACCCCGGCATCATGGTGAAAAAAAAACAAGAGAATGTGGAAATTTTGACTCCACAAAATTTGAGTTTAAGGTAGTTGTGAGAAGAAATTACCCTTCTGATCCTTTATTGTCCATTTTTTATAGCAATCACATTAAGGTAAAACGACTTTATCTTAAATTTTCTCTGACGAAACCAAAGTGAGATGGATAATCGATGGCTTCATCGAAGATATAAGCTGGCTACATTTGAAAGTCTTTGGGAAATGACTAGGATAGCTTTTATCGTAGTGTTCATTATCTCTTTGACGTATTTTTTAATCTTTCTAGAAGTATCCACCTTCCCATTTTTATATTTTTAGGATTTTAATTATAAAACGATGACTAGATGTCTGAACTCTAAATATGCATTAATTATGTGGGACATATCTAAAACCATGAGCATACTTAAATATAAAATATATACATTTTCAAATAAAATATTCTCTATGTGCCAGATAACCATAGCCTTGTAATAGTCACATATCTAAAACGTTTAGAATCGTTTTCTATCATACTAGAAGCTATTTCTTGAAATTGAAATTTGACTTTGTGAGACTAGATTTTGACTGTTTTATGGTATTTTATAATATATTCGTGTTAGCTGTTATTTTTATAACTCATTTTTATCTATCAAGTAGAAATATAATTTAAGGCACAAGTTATTTAGTTTTGTACGAGTCGAGTCAATTCATTTTACATCTAACATAGAACGAGGGGTAGTCATTATAATTATTATAAACAAGGTCTCTTTGATTACCCCAAGTGTTGCAATTTTGCATGTGAAAAGTGGACTACCTAAATATTATGAAAGGCATGAAAACAGAATACACAGAATAATATGTACATTTAAACATTTCATTATGCATTGTATGGGGCCTTAGTAGTTTTTCATTTAATTCATCGTTTCTTATGACTATTTTTAAACTGACATGTATAAAGTTTGTCTTCTAATATACTTCATTTCCCGTTTAATTTTCAATTCGAAATTGCTACAGCTTGCAATTTAAATCGAAAGTATACAAGGAAATTACTTTTAAACAAGTGAATCCCCCCTTATGATTTTTTTCTTACAATGGGTTCATAAATGTTCTGAATATACAGACGGCAGACAAAAGGGTGAGCACGAAACATCATTTCACAGATTAGAATTAATAGAAAAAAAATATTGATATATTTTCATGACGGTAATATTTTAATACTGGTAATTATCCAGTTTAAGCCGCCTATTATCTTTAACAATTTCAATTTAGCCAGCGAGTATCCGTCTCACTTTGGCATCTTCAAAAAAACTTGATTTAACTTAGTTTTATGGAAAAGCGTGACGATAACGTTATTGTTAACCAACACAGAGAGAATAAAGGAACATATTGTATTATTTTATTCACATAAGTACCTTCTGTTGATTTCCACCATAACTTTATGCAAAATTCCATAAAAGTTTCATATTGCTTATGTTTGCTTCGAAAAATGTCAGTCAAAAACGGAATGGAAAAAAAGAAAAAAGAAGGACAGCATTCAATGTTTGAACTATCCTTAAGACTTCCAGTCTTATTTCATCATCAGAGCCGTGCATATCATCAAGCCCTTATGATCCGGATACATACCGTGTGTACCAATATTTTCCTATCCAATCTGTTCTAGGAAAGCGGTACATCTGACATAAAGTGACAAAAATTATATACCAAAATTCTCATATGAAATAATTTTTGAAAATATTCCTTTCAAGACTCAATCTAAACATTTGTCTTTACGCCACTTGGACTATTGGCGCAATAAGTAAAATCCGATACATAACCTTTTCAAATGTTCAAACTCTTATTAGAATCTGCATTTTTATGGAATATGATAATCATTGCACTACATAGCTTAGTATTTTATTAAAAATGAGATAGTGCAAGATATTCAAGAATCATAATTAGTATTTGAATGTTTTTTGTTTGTTTTTTTGTGATTGTGTTTGTTTGTTTGTTTCTTAACTAATATGTAATCATTCAATCATTACGCCAGGCTGCAATGAGAACGAATTTGCTTGTGCTGATGGGAGCTGTATAAAACTAGGCCAGGTCTGTGATTTCAAACCAGATTGCACAAATGCAGAGGATGAATTTTGTGGTACGATATTTTATGATAAAACATGTCTCAAACAAATTAAATTGTCACATTGTTAAAAATGTGGTTGGTATAAGAATATAAATTGATGCCGTCTTTGAAAGAATCATTTTTATTTGAATGTGAGTTTATGTGCCAAAAGAACACGAATTAAAAATGCGATGTGATAGTTTTATTTAGAATGAGTATAGTTGAAACGTTAATAACTATAATTACCTTATTAATTTAATATTTTTTATTGTAATATATGTTTAGCTGATTGCTTAAAAAATAAAAATTGGTGACGTTTTAAAGACAATGCTACGAAATACAAGTATTTAAAAAAAAACAACAACAAGTATTGTGCTGTGACAATCGAGAAAAGTAATGTATTTGTATAACGACTCATTCTCTTGAGAAATCTGAATGTAAATATCATACGTGTATATAACTTTATATTCTACATTTTATTAGTCCCCTACCGGATTTGTCGGAGGAAAAATTAAGTTAACACTCCGTCCACAAAACTTGATCCCGTGATAACGCAAAAAGTACTAAAAATATTTGCACGGAATTTGATATGCGGATATATTGCATTCTGGAAATTAGTCATGTCTTGTTCTTTTCTTCCTATGTTGAAAACTATGGTTGAAATGGCAACAATTAGACTGAAATATGGCGGATTTTACACGTATCGTAAACATACTTAACTTGAAATATGGGTAGATGGCAGTCTAGAGATTGTTAAACTTTTTTTATCTCCCTATTTACGAACATTTGCTTGCTATGGCAACAAACAGCTTGAAGATATGGCAATATACACACAGATTTGATCACGTGATACTGCAAAAAGTACTGAAAACATTTTTATTATACTTGAAATATATGTAGATGGCAGTCTGGAAATCGTGCATGTATTTTTCCTTTTCTTTCTATTGTGAAAACTGCGTTTGGTATGGCAGCAAATATTCTTAAAATATGTATGGCATTTATACTATTTGATCCAGTGACAACGCAAAAATACTGAAAATAGTGCTACAATATGGGAAGATGGTAGTCTCGAGATTATGCGCGTTTTTTTTTCCTTTTCTCTGTAAATTAAAATATTTGGTTGCAACGACAACAAAAAGAATTAAAATATGGCAAATATTAGCAATTTTGTGATTACTCAAAAAGAAATGAAAACACTTTTAAATTAATGAAACTTATGATATGAATAGATGGAAGTTTGTAGTTCATACACGTCATTTTAATCTTTAATAGCTGCCGGTTTCTTTTTGCCTCGATGATTTTTGGGAAAATTCAACCCGTATTTTTTACACGCTTTAAAATGAAACCATCTTAAATTGTTATATTTAATAAAAGGTTTAAAAGGTAATATGTTTTGTTCAACAACTTTCTTATGAAAATGCATTTAAACTTTGCATTTGACATGGCAAAGTTTTTTTTGCCTTGGCATTTCGGTATTTTGCCATGGCTTATACTTTGCCAATATTGGTAAGAGTTTTCCTAGTTTTTTTTTAATCACGAAACATTCTTAAACTTATCCTTAGACTTGCTTTTGGTGCTATTGTTATGTTTGTTTTGCAGTCTCCAATTTTTTTTCAATTTGCCATGGCAAACTTTTGGACTATATTGAGCGCTGTCCTACTCGCAAAAGTTTCGGCGATCGTTTCAAGTGTTTATGCTTTTTCATTATAAGTTATTTCTTAATGTATTAACTTCAAACCTCAAAAAATGAGTCTCAAAAGTGTCTAGCACAAAAAGTAACAGAATTGCCCCCCCCCCTGAACTGATAATTTTAATGAAAAAACTTCTACATTTTCATAGCATTTGCTTCAAAATCCGACATCATAATACAATGACAAGGGTTTTAAATATAGCGTACATAAAAATTACCGCCAGAAAGTCTGTAAGTTTGTGTATCTGTCGTTCATAAAAACGGTTTCGTGAGGTGACTTTTAGGTCAGAATCTTTCCATCAAATTTACTTAAATAAGAGATAAATTGAAAAATTAATTATAAACATTCATCATGAGAAAATTGGATTTTTTCTTATTATTCTTTTTTTGTATTAACATATTTTCATTGTAAGGCAGGGAAACCTAACACATTACTAAAATAAAGACAAATTTAGAGCTCAAAAGATTTAAGCTTATTAATGTTATTCATTCATTCAATGGCATAATTCAATGACCAATGGCCCATTAAAATGATGGTGAGATTCTAACCTGTAGGGGACTTATGGATTGCTTGCAGCGTTACGAAACATGCTTGTTTAAATAGTATTAGGTTTCTTTGTTACTTTGCAGAACTTCGAAACTGCGGTCTCAATGAATATGTTTGTGATAATAAACAGTGTATACAGGACAGTAAAAGATGCGACTCAATCCCACACTGTATAGATGGTAGTGATGAAATTGGATGTTGTAAGTTAAACTTTTTGCACTTTAATCATTCCAAACAAATTCGTTTGCTCCAACACATATACAAATATACTGAAGGATTACTTATCATATAGCAAGTCATTTTCCCTCTTTTTTTGCAAGTGGAATGCCGGGAATCTTTTTACTGTGATGGTGATAGATGTATAGATAATAAACTGGTTTGTGACAAAGTGCGGGACTGTGAAGACGGTAGTGATGAAAGTGATTGCACGACTGACGATGATAAATCGTGCGAGAATTGGTGGCACAAAGGCTATTTTGAATCTGGCCAAAGAGTTATTGGTAACATTATTTAAATTATTAAATTAAAGAACAAACATTAAAATTTAATGTGTGTGTGTAAATTCAGCATACGTCGTTAGCTTCCGTGGAATTAAAAATAAAATTGATATGACTTAATTTAAATCCTCTGAATGAAAAAACATGCAATGTACAATAGACTTAAGGTACTAAAATGTTCGAGGGTTGTTCAAAAAGTTCGTGGACTGCAGCTCGACTGTTTTTATTTTTCAATTTGCTTACACGATTTTACAAGCGACCAATATTGGAATATGTACTAAATATATAGTGTACAAATCAAAACAATGTAATTACAAATAACTTTTCCGTTAACATTACCAATATCTAGGGGTACGCGACTTTACACACGCTCATGTTAAACAAAAATGACTTTCGTGACGTCAAAATCTAAAATCAAATATGTCACCAGCGTCATACCGGAGAGCTCGCAAACTTTCATATTTTCCATCCTCTTCTAGTTCTTTTTAATTGACGTTACAAAATTCCTGACAATTCGCCGCTTTCTCCATCACCCCTGTTTGTCTGTGATCCAGTTTTCACCAGTTTTGAATCGCTTGCACCAACTGAAACCGGATGAGTTGCCCGCCGATGCATTGCCCTTTGTTTATTAAACTACCTAATACGAATATGAAATAGTTTTCGCAATTTAATGGCAAAACCTTCCGAAAGCAATTTACACTGCTGACTATTGCTGCTCAAAACTTGTTTGTTTAGCCATTCAACATCCAAATGACGTCAAATTTCAGATTGATGCCATTTAAATATAAATAGATGTTAACCGACATTTAACCTGATGAAATAACCCTTTAATTTATTTTAACATTTGTTTATATGTAAACATACTTCGAAAATTTCGACGTGTGCCGATGTTGCTTTGTCATGTTATTTAAAGGGGCACAATTTTTTTTTATGAACCAAGAAAAAATGAATCAAAGCCACATTTTTGAATTTTCCCTTCTTTAAACAAATTTAAGAGCTGTATACGAATTAATCTTTTCAATTTTATGAAAGTGTTTGGACTAGGGTTAAAGAGCAGGTCTTAAACCCAAAAAAATAACTAGGGAAAGAAATTTAGTTTGGATGCAGAGAAAATTTATACAAGAGCTTCAAAGACAAAAATCTTACTTTCCCCAAGATAGTGAATTTTATAATTTTGTAACAGGAATGAAAACATGCACAGTCGATGTGAGTATAACTTTTATTTCGTGTGTCATAATTTTTGCGGTAATTTGTTTTCAGGGTGCCGGATTCCTCTTTTTCCAAAATTATCAGACGAAATCAACTTCTGTTCTTTACTTTTCGCAGGGCCAATCAAGATTGCTAGAACATTTTCTTTTGATTTGTCATATTTTTATAAAGCAAAATAACATGGTAATCCCCTTTATATTTATTAGCTCTTTTTATAGGAAAATAATATCTGTTTGTTGTTTGTTTGTGCTTGCGTGCCATAACTTCTACGTGCATGATGGAAATTCGAAATAACATTAGTTTTTAGGCACAAATTCTCATAATGAGATTTTGTGTCATTCAAATTTATCAGGTCAGAGGTTGGTCACCTAATAATACAATGGAAATGTTGTGTTCCGCACATCTCACCTATGTTTTACATCTTGATCGTAAGCTTATAGGATCGTGTTCGAATCTGATAGCGGGCTCGACTTTTCCCGGGGGATTCTAGTAATGCCATTTTAATTAACTAATTTTTTTTTAAATCAACAAAAATAGACTTTAATGGGGATTTTATAAATTTGATTGGGTTCGATTTAAAAATCTGTCTAAGAAATTTCCCTCCCCCAAAAAGGGCCTCAACAGAGGGTAGTTTAGGTACAGCAAAATTAGAGAAAAATTTAAAATTTTCAAAGCTATACAACCTTGCATTCAACGGTTTTTCTACACTGTAAAATATCGGAGGTTTCCCCTAAAAAGGGACCCTTTACATTGCCCCTTTACTATTTTTAATTAAATTTTTTTTTCCCTGAGTAACATAGTAATGATGAAAAACCTCCAATTAAAATAATATTTTTATTTTTTTTTAATGTAAGCCTGACCGAGACTCAAAACCTTGGACCCTGGAAACCGTACTGTGGCTCTACTGACTGCCGCAAAGCTATCCGGCTGAATCCCAACAAAACTACCTCCCCTCCCCTAAATTAGAGAACAGTTCAATACTGTGACATTAATCATTTTCGGAATAATTTGGGATTCGAACATAACACAACTTTGGGTCTCCCTGAAGAGTTTTTCAACATCATTTTTACCCCATCTTACTACTATGTTTACCTCTTTTAGCCCTATTTGTTCTGGAATTTCATTCATTACACCCATTATCAGGACATAATTTGGTTATCTGTTACTTGTCATTGTGGGAGGTCTGAAAAAAATCGGTACGACAAAGATTTTTCAAAATAGAACATGTCCTATCCCTTACATCTCGACATAAGGTTTCCGAAATCAAGAAATAGTAGCCTTCACACATTAAGATTTGTCGGTACATCTTAGTTTTAATTGGTGTTGTACTTCAAAATCCTATCGTCTGTTGAGGCCTTAAGATGTCTTGCTCCTTTCATGTGAAGACGATGGCCTGTTTTGACAAAATATAAATGATAGAAAGTAATTATACTCTAAAATATGTTTTAACATTTCATAGGACCGGTAGATAAAATTATATCATACTAAATTACTTATTATATTTATTACTCAAGATAGTACCCTTTGACGGTTTATGCATAAGTGTATAAGATAAAATTGCGATCATTGGAGAGGTCATCAGACCTCTCCATAGTGTTCAGACTGATTGCTGGCGGCATCCATTTTTGCGTATCTGATTGCAGTGAATGAATCTCATTTTAAGCGTAAAATCATTAGAAGCAGTCTACAAAAATTGTTTTGCGCATGCCCCGTTTCAAAATACAGCTTAACTTAAACGAAAAATTAACATAGAAGTGAACAAATCGGTACATAGAAAAATCGGGAAATATCATTTATTTACGTTACTAAACACTACGTTGATGTTTCATTCCGTTGAATCTTTTAAACTGTATAAATCGATTACCGATTTGATTTCTATACTATTTCATGTTCTGATAAATAGTTACAGTAAACATTATAGCTACAATATCACCATGTACATTATATACCGCCTCCGTGGTCGAGGGATTAGAGTTGGTGACTTTTTATCAAGCTAACTCTCTGGCGTGGGTTCGATCCCCGAGAGATGCTTTTTTTTGTTAGTTTAGCGTGGAGGAAGGTTGTCTAGTACTGGTGCAACTCTCCATGGTTAGGAAACTACCCGCCTATATGACTAAAATACTGTAGGGAAAAGGCGTACAATGAAACAAACAACAAACAAACATATTATATGACCGAGTGAACCGTGTATTGAACCGGTATGTCTAAATAACGCAAAAAGAGATTTTTTGACGCAAATGGCACACATTTTACCTCAAGTTTGATTTTCTTGTAATATTGTGGTTGGAGTCATGCAGCTTTATATACTGTTTTATTCCAATAAACAGTATATAACAGTATAACAGTATATAACAGTATATATACTGTTTATTCCAATCAAATGATATTAACATTTTTTATGCAAACCCTGGACTAAAATTGTTTGATTATCATACATATATACCTGTTTTGGAAAATGTAGAGGAAAATGCTTCATTATATTTAACAAAACAGTGACCGAAAATTTGCTTATTGAACTTTACTAGAAACATTTTTTTTGATACTACTTTTAATATATAATTATATACTTTTTCTACAAAGGGAACTGAATTTAAAATACAAATTTTAAATGATATATATCATTTAATTTACATTAAGTAATTTTACATTTTTTTTGTAGAAAAAGTATCCTAATGCGCCAAGAAAAAAAGTCCATTACTCCGGCATATAATCTTTTAAAACATTAAAAAAGATGAAGTGTAAAACAAACTTTAATTGCAATATATATAATAAATTCTATTTTGTTTAATAATTGTAATTTATAACCATTCATTGTGTCTTTTATGCCATATAATATCCCCAAATATTTTCAAATTAAACAAATTTTCTACAGCAGCAAAAATACCACTCGCATGCTTCTTTTTAAAGAAGCAAACTTGTTTTCTTAAAGTTTATTTTAACTATAATCATGCATACTTCACACATATGTAAATAATTATGCAGAATAACAAAAGCCATTTAATAAAAAATCAATTGACAGGACATTGATTAGTTGTATTAAAATGTTGTTTATCTACTAGTAAATGAAAATATATTATCACTTTAGTTTTTAAGAGCAAATAATAATAATATGAGGCCAGGAAAGTAATGTTGATATTACTTTTTACTATAATTAACTATAATTTTAAAAAAGTAACTACAAAATTTTCCCTCCACCCTGACACGAAGCAAAGCGTGTAATTGTTATGCATAGATGACCAGTATATGTATAAGTGATGACATAATCTGCGCTTTCATAACAAATGTCCTTTTATTAAAGGGGGCCGTATCATGCATGTCAAAAAGTCATTGTAGTACATCGTTTTTTTTTAATTTTATTTTTTTGGCCCCGCAGGGCGGTATATGTAATTGCACTGTTCGTGTGTCCTTCAATCTGCCGTTCGTTCGTCCGTCCGTCCGATAATCTTGTCCGCTCTTCATCTCCCAAACCTCTGGGGGATTTCAGTGAAATTTCACAGGATTGATAATTACCATGCCTAGTTGTGCATAGCATTGATATTTTTGGGTACAGTTATGGCCCCGTAATGGCCATTAACGCTTCATCCCGTAACCACTGAAAGAGGGACTTTCAATAGAACTTCACAGGATTTTTCGTCACCATGTCTTACTGTGCATAGTTTTTTGATTTTCTGCTTGATATTTTTTGGCTTAGTTATTGCCCCTTAATGGCCAATTTTTGAGTTAAATAAGCTTTCCGCGTTTCATCTCCAATACCGCTGAGGCATTTTTGTGAAAATAACAAGATTATTTGTCAACAAGCCAAGTTGTT